GTCCAGGCCCCTCTCGCCCACTACCACCCCCTTTTCTTAATAATAATAATAATAATAATAATCCTTGCATTTGATACAGTGCCTTATCACGCCATTGAGACTCCTCAAAGCTCTTCACAGAATATACCGTAAAGTGAATTGCCTGGTCACTGTATATCAAAAAGCGGCAGCCAATTGTGCACAGCAGTGTCTCTCAAACAGTTGCGGATTGAGTGACCGCAATTTTTTTTTGAAGGGATTATTACCCCTGGAAAGCGACTAACAACCGGGTTTCCACTTACTGGTAGGTAAACAGAGGCAATTCAAATTTTTTTAAAAAAAATCTTTCACTTGGTAAGGGGAGTGAAAGGGTGAAACACACTGAAGAGCAGTGCAATGCCCCTACATGTGGGCTTACATCAGCTAAAAAGAAAACGAGTTTCTTTTTCAAAAAAAACACCAGCAAACACAAGCCGGCTTATTTCATGCCCCAGTGATGTGGCTGTAATTGCAGAAAGGCTTCTTTTTTTTTATTACACGCTGGTTTAATGGAGACATTCATTCAGAGAGGGATTCAGTAAGGTGTTTAATTTTTCGTGCATCCTTTATTAACCTCACTTCCCAGAGTTTTTCTGAACGTAAAACAAAACGGTTCAGTGGCAAATTAAAGGCACAGTGCATTTCCGAATTGTTTTATTCCACCACACCTTCCTGGCACCACCCACCTCAAAGTGGCACCAGCACCCACAAGTTAGCACCGAATGACACAGTCTCCCTCATTTTCCATTTCCTGACTCTTGATATATTTGTCGTGGGGCATTAGGGCATCTGAACACAGGGGATATCTTTAAATTTTTGTTGTTATTAATAATAATCCTTACATTTGATCGAGAGCCTTTCACTCAAAGCACTTCCCAGGATATCCTGTAACATGTGGTAGCTGTGTATTTTGTAGGTAAATTTGCGCAATGTAGCACTGGGGATGCGTTGTGTTGGCTGAGGCGCCAAACTTTGGTTGAGATGTTCAAATGGACACAAAAGATCCCACGGCACTATTCGAGAAGAGAATGTCCTGGCCAACAATCCTTCCAAAATAAAATTGGTTATTCACTTCATGGCTATTTGCGAGACATTGCTGTGCGCACTGTGCGCTTACAAATGCGCATTCGCAATACTTCACAGTAAAATCCTGTGAAGCGCTTTGAGATGTGCTGACGGGATGATAAGGAACTGTTTCAAGTGCAAGGATGATGATTGATGTGATCAATTTGTCTCAACACTTTGCGGTGGCAGACGAACATCAAACCATGCAACAACCCAAGGGAGTTGTGGGAATGTCCTCACCCCCGCGCCCCCTTTTTGCTCTCACATTGAAGTCAAAACAACCTGCGAAAACTTCCAAAACCTTCAGTTTGAAGATCGTGGAGGGTAGTTTTGTGATTTCCCCATCAGCGCTGGAAACAGCTGTTGGTACTGCTATCATTTCACTTCTGAAAAACCCTCGGCATCCTGTGATAAAACTACAATGTCTTACATTAGAACGAAGGACTTTCCCTGGTGAACAGAAAGATCAGCCGTCAACAGGTCCCTACCTTCAGAGCACACGTAGGTCATTGAAACCCTTTTATAGTCAGAACGCAGTATGAATAACCTTCTCCGAACACCTTCTCACGGTGGTGGGGAGGAGGGAAAGGGAGTGTCATTGTTACATTGAGAGTCCCGATGACGTGGTGTGAGAGAGCCAGTGTTAGCACGCACTGACACCCACGTACACACACACGTAACCAGGGTAAACCCACCTGCCCTAGGTAACATCTTTCAGTATCTCCACTTTGTATGTGTGTGTGGCGGGAGTGAGGGGTCGATGATTTCAAGAACGAATCATTGAGTTGCATGCAATTATTAATATTTATTTTTATTGTCCACAAAATACACAACCACTACGTGGGACACCACATTCCTCTAAATGTTTTTGAGACATTTTGAACATCTCCATCAAATGCAGGGATTATTTTATCCTATTAATGATTAAAATAGCACAGAAATTATTAATATTTTGTGGAACACGTAGCATCTTGCCATTTCCCTGTTTGACCTCTTCTACAGCTTTCTGTGCTAATAGTAATAATGCTAAAAATAATAATAATACTTGCATTTGATACAGTGTTTTTTTCTCAGCCCCTAGCTCTGGAACTCCATCCCCCAGTGCCTTCGCCTTTCTTCCTCCCTTTCCTCCTTCAAGACCTTTCTCTTCAACCGTGCCTTCAGCTCCCCTCTCGACTCTCTACCCCCTCCTCGCTCCCTTCCCTCCCCCTGACCATTTCCCCCCTACTCGGGTCCCGACCCAACTGTCCAGCGCCTTGGGACGTCCTCCCGACGTGAAAGGCGCTCTATAAATGAAATCTTGTTGTTGTTTTTCATCAGGAGGATATCACAAAGCACTTCACACGATTTACTGTAAAGTGTGTACTTTGTGAATATTCCCTATCTTTCTTTTCCCTGTGCTTGTTTGTATACATCGGAAGCTGTTTCTGATAAAACTCCAATAAGCTTATTCTGGAGTCAGTTTGTTGTGAGGGTAGATTCAGGAAATAGCTATTCTATATAAATGGTTCAAATTGGTTAATACAGAGCCTAAGTGAGACTGGAAGTGATCTGAGCAAGTTTGAGCGAGCAGAGCAAAGGCTGGCCTGTAGGTTACTAATTGCATTGGAAGTAATGCCAAGGGCAAAAAGTAAAACGAGGCCAGGAAGTCAAGTGAATCCAAACGCGCATGGTTCGAATGAGCCGGGCATCAGACTTCAATGGTTTGCAGAACGGAAACCAGATTTTGTCACTGAAAGGCTTAAATTAGCCACAACGACTTGCGCTTTGCGTAGGATGAATGTCTTGGAGCGCTTCACAATGGCAATGGGGATCATCATGCAGGGAGAGAAGGGAAGAAGTTTGCAGTTGTTGACCATACTCAAAGAGATGGGTTTTGAAGAGAGAGGGAGTGAAGGCGCAAGGTGAAAGGATTTTAGCAATTTCCACAAAGCAGGGCAGAGCGGCTGAAGGCATGACCACCGATGGATTGGGGCAGCAGACCTGAATGCTAAACAGTCTGACAATGGATCGAAAGCCACACAACTGACAGAAGGACCATGTTTCAAGGCGAAAGCTGTGGAGTGCGGAAGCTGTGGAGAGAAGCTGAAAGAGCATCACGTGCTGCACAGGACACTTGCGCGAATCAACATCCAGGGCCTTTCTCACACTCAGCCGGAGAACTTGGCTTCTTCAGGTGGAGGGTGCGATAGAGGATGGGTGGAAGACATGTGACAGCTCAGGTGGGGTGGGAGCACATGTGGATACTGTTACACCACTGAGGAGCCCGATCAGGTAAATCAGGAGCAATGAAGTCACAGCCCTGTGTTTGGTTACAGTCTGCCTCCCAGGTGATGATCTGGCCACACTGATGACCACCACATACTCTCATTATACAATACTTGTTGCACACACTGATCCAAGGCCTTTCGACGGGCAGTGTTGTGTTCCATTTTAAAGCAGCTGAACGTGCTTTGCAGTTGTTCCTGTTGGCTGTGTGAACACGAGTTCTGTGCTGCATTGACTACTATTTTTTTGGGGTACCCGTGTGTTGAAACATCGACACGCGCTCCCCGCAATGCCACAAGCAGTTTGCGCTGAGAGAGGCTGGCTTATAGTTATCGATTTAATGGCATCCCAGATAGGTCTCGAGTACAGCCTCAAGGTGAAGATTATGGAGTTGATTTGTAACTGTGCTCTGTATATCTTCTCTACAGTATTTAATTAATCGTCCTTTTGCTGTTCTCTTCATCGTTTTTAACCCGACTCCTGTCTCGTGGCCATTCTTCATGTATGACGCTGCCTTATTTTAGGAGGTATTGAGGCCAACTATAGAGCCAGTCGCTGGGGGCAGGGAATCATCCCACCCAGCTCCTGTTAACCCTGCAAGCCAAAGCCCTAGGAAGTAGGGCGGTTCTAGCTGGACACGCAGCAGCAAAGCTTTCCAGATAGCGATATCAATAGCAAGCTATGTGGTTTTAGATGGTTAGTCTCCAGCAGTTACCCCAACGCTGGGGTTCCCAAGCCTTGGCGCCTACCAACCTGCGCCTAATACTTTCCGGAATTAGGTAAGCAGGATGCAGCTTTCCAGGAAGAGAGGGAATTCTCAGCTTGGTTTGGATATTCTTAAGAATGGTGATGGGTTTCTGCATGTGTCCGACACCCGGCTGACCAAAAAAAAAACTATAGCGCTGCCTACTGCCAGGCCAGTTGAGATCAACTAATCTGGAGACCTCAGGGTCTATATATTTACTTATCCAATGCGTGGGTGGGGGTGGGGGGTGTTATTATCCTTCATTGTCTTTTCATTCGCTGCGCTTCTAATTCTGGGTGGGCTAATGCTGAAGGGAAGAGAGCGAGCCAGAAACTACCCAAATGCATTGATGTGTCTGCAGAGCTCACTCAGCTAGAGGAGGCAGCCCTGTCTTTTCCCTGGGCTGACGTGTTGTCAGATCAGTTTGCCTTGTTTTTTTGCGAAACGGCCGGGGGTGCATGCCCTACCAGTAGAAAATCAGTCCATTAAACTGTGAAGCTGGTCTCTAAACTTGCTCGGAAAGAGACAGGCTGCAGAAAATTCAAAATCCCCACAGTGAACAAGCAGTGTATTAACAGGAAACTAGGAATTAAATGGTTTATGAAGTGCTGTCTACTCAGGGTTTGCTCAGAGGGTTCCGAAGAATGAAAGCAAGGGAAACGTTACTACCTCCAGAAATGGGAACGAAGCGAAGCACTTTGAACAGGAATCCTGCGCTGCTCACACAAAGGGGAAAACAATGTAGCCGGAGGGCCTTTGATGTGATGATGTGGAATTGGTAGGGATTAATAGGTTAAGGGAGAGTATTGTGGGAGTCTGTGAGCACACGTACACCATCAGTGCTGTATAATACTTGTCAGGATACATTTGTTCTGTGTGTGATCAAAGCTCTTGTTGTCTTTAGCAGGTCCAGGGTCACATGCCTCCGCTCATGATCCCAATTTTTCCACACGACCAGCGGACGTTGGCAGCGGCTGCCGCAGCCCAGCAGGGCTTCTTGTTCCCCCAAGGATTAACATACAAACCAGGTGAGCCTCCAGCAATGAAGTGCTTAACATTTGAGGGGAGAGTGTATTATCACACCCACACTACCCGCATAGATAGGCACACACACACACACGCGCATGCGCGTGCTCGCAATACACACACACACATTATTCACACACACACACTCACATATACACACGTGCGTGCACACACACATACACACACTATCCACACACAGATACACAGACTATACACACACACACACATATATACGCTAGCCACACACATGCCCACAGATCCATACACACAAATACACACACACTTTCCACACAGAAAACAAATTGCACAAATGATCAAAGGCTTATCTGTATAAGCAAAGGTTTTAGTGACAGCTTGTAGCACCTGTGTTGTACTTTTATTGCTTATAGTTTTATTCACTTCGCCCTTATCCTTTTACTCCTGACTGCAGGGGTTAATGTGCTTGTAATAATAATAATAATCATAAATAATAATAACAGCTGTAATAACAAGTATCTTTACACAATGATATAACGTATTTGAACATTGAGGGTTCCGCGATACAATAGCTCAACCGTTCCCAGTTGGTTTGAGGCAAGCTTGATGTAGGGGGAGATAATAATAATGGTTCTGATGACAGAACATGCAGAAAGTATATTTTAATCTTTCCTTTATACATATATAAAAGACCTCATAAAAATAGAGCAAATTATCACTTATTTTGATTGTCCTTGGGACCTATTTTACACAGAGCGTTAAAAATATAATGATCTTTTCACTATCTTTATAGTGGGACGACCCCAATATAAAGACGTAGGAAAAATATCATTCTGTTCAGCGATCAGAGTAACAACAACACTTTACATTTCCACAGCGCCTTTCCCATCAGTGAACATCTCTAAATTTGCCTCATCACAGACACACACTGAAGAAACTCCTGTGAGTTTATTTCCACACACTTATTTCCAATTATTGGAATTATTTCAACACACACACCCCCTCACACTTTCTCCCTCTTGGATTCCTTATAAAAGAATCTTGTTAAATCTTCTTGTTTCGCCCACAAAATCCAGTCAATCCACCTTACAGTATATCCTGTGAAGCTTTGAGACATTTCAATGACGTGATAAGGCGCTATATCACATGCAAGGATTGTTATTATTAATAAACACCACAGTTTAGATCCCAAGATTGCAGAGCAGTGAGTCTCTGCCTCTCTCAGCTTGTGCTGCATCAGTGTACCAATGGCCCTTTTGTATTGTTTGATACATCTCGCCCACTTCACAGGGGCACAAGCACTGACCCATTTCTCTACCAGCCATCTCGGCTTGGAACTGAACAGCTTCCAGCCCACCAGCCTGGCCTCCGAGGTGCCAGGTCTCAAGGCTGAATCTCAGTGGGATCGTCAGACACGCTGACTCAACCATAACCTCCTCTTCACCCCCACGGCGTTATTTTTAATTGAAACATTAGGTGCTAAAATCATCGGTCACGTGCTTCGCAAGTGGCTTGAGCAGCGAGCTTATCGGGGGTGGAGGAGGGAAGCAGTTGTGTTTTTTTACAGAGACCACAAAGTTATACCGAAAATTGGCACATGCAAGCAGACAAATTGAACATCATTTACAAATGTTTTAAAAGTGTTGGCTCTCCTCCAATGGCTCAGCAAGTTTAGCCAGTGAGTCACTGAGCCACATCCTTGGACCCTATTGAAATTCATTGGTGAATGGAAGAGCTCATTAGAAACTTTCCAGGCCCTTGTCATACTAACACCGGAGCCTTTAGATTAACATCAGGCAACAGGACAGAATGTGTTGTACCCCAGTGAAGGTGGATGTAACCTTGCACAATATGGACAGAGTTGTCACAGCACAGATGTCGGTTGTTTAAAAGAGAAGGCACAAGGCTATTGTACTTGGAACATGGGCTGGGTGGGGGGGTGGGGAAAGCGCCTTTCACGTCAGGAGGACGTCCCAATTTAAAACTAAAACCTGAACTAATGTGTTCGTATGATATCACAAGTTGCACAAGGGAGAGAGAGGAACACGGACAGCACCTCGTACTGACAGAACAAGACTATTTAGCACTAAAATAGGAGTCCTGTAAGCTCCGTGGTTAGAGCACTCGCCTCGCAAGCAAGAGACCCGGGTTCGATTCCCGGGTGAAACCTTGGGCAAGTTCCCTTACTCCACACGCCTGATAATAATCCCTCAAGGAAAAAAAGCAAGAATAATGCGGTCACTCAATCCACGACTGTTTGTGGGACACTGCTGTGCGCAATTGGCTGCCGTGTTTCGCCCACAAAATATAGTCAATTCACTACACACTAGAAGATATGAAAGGCTCTATATCAAATGCAAGGATTATTATTAAAATGCCAGGGCCCTGTATGTAGAAGTACAATAGAGAAATAGAAGTCATATCTGCTAACAGTCGCTGATTGCACAGGACTATCCCGTTTTGACCCCAAAACCCACTGAACTAGTAAATTTCCCCCATTAACCTTGAGAGAGCAGGAGGTGCATGCGTGCACACTAGTGGGTTATCAGTTAGTTAGAAACAGAACGCACCTTTCCTCTGAGAAGCACAATAGCGTGTGACCAGCAAGGAGTGAGTGATGAAAGCCGAGATATTGCATAAACGGCTATTGTGTTTCTCAGAGGTATTTTGCCACGTTGGCCTACAGCGAGGGAGCAGAGGTATGGCAGCCTGTTAGGGCACGCTCGCTGCTCTTTCAACACATATTTTTGGGGAGAGAAAAAAAAAATTCCTCACGCAAACATTCTTAATCCATAGAACAAATTTGAAAAAGATTGCTGCAGCCTGTCCCTAGACTCTGTGCCAAACAATTGTTGGGTGGATGGAGATTTAACTTGGGGCAGAGGGCGGGGAGAACATTGTGGGGAACGATTATTAAAACATTAGACCCTGAAAGGTTTTTCCTTTCGCTGCTGAAAATTAAAGGTATGTCACGCCACACGGAATATTTATCCTGTATATTTATTTGTGTAGTGACCGTTCAGACCCTGAAAAGTGCAAAGCCCGTGTTTTCCAACAAAGCTTTGACGGTCTGGGAAACCATCAGTTGTATCACAGATCTGCTGATTAAAACACACAAAAGACTTAAATAGATGAAGGCACCACCTAGGGTGGTAACCACCTGGAAGACTCGAATTCCTGTCTGCACCGAGCTGGCTGATCTCAGCCTGGGCTGCAGTTAAGGTTGCAATTAGCCTCAGCGCCCCTGGGTTAGAGAGAGGCCAATCAGGAGGAGTGCTGTAGGGTAGTGGTGAGCACGCTCGCCTCGCAAGCGAGAGGACCTGGGTTCGATTCCCGGGCAGGGAAAAATTTCAGGCACGTTCCTTTCCTCCACATGCCTTTCTTTACCAAGCAGTAAGTAGGAAACCCGGTTGTTAGTTGATTGGCGGATTGCTTTCCCTTCAAAAAAAGAAGTAATTTGATCACTCGATCCACGGCTGTTTGTAAGACACTGCTGTGCGCAATTGGCTGCTGCGTTTCGCCCACAAAATTCAGCCAATCCACTTTACAATATCTTCTGTGAGAGCGCTTTGAAACGTCTCAACGACGTGATCAGGCGCTATATCAAATCCAAGGGTTATTATCCAGCGTTCCCGTTTCCTCATCGCCATTCGGTGAGCCCTAATGGATGTCGCTTGAATGGCAGGTGAAAACGGGATTCGGTTTGCCTGTGATGCCCTCTCCCCCATTAAAGGTTGAACAGTCTGCGGACGCAAAGCGTCTCGGCTCAGACGTGAGGAATGGTCACGTGGGTGATCTGAACTGTGTATTTTGTAAGCGAAACAAGACAATGAAAGAGCTGGGCACCTAGGGGGCTTTTGAGAGCAGGGATAGCATCAGTGAGATAATGTAGTTTGCAGAGGGCAGAAGCGCGTGCGGTGGTTGAACCCAGGGGAACAGTAACAGTGATCAGAAGAGCAGGCTGTGATAGAGGGTCTGGAGACGATCACACAGGTTAGGACGCTCAAAGCAGCTGCAACATGTTTTACGACCAATTTTGTTTCTGTTTTTTTTTAAAAAAAAGACTCGGCAAACAAATGAGAGGAATGTTCCCAGCCGCAGGTGAGCTTCCAAACACAGGGTGTGGCAAGCGTCCCAAGGAGAGAGTCGAAGGTAGCGAGCGGGGAGACTACAGCTGTTCCAAAGAGTACATTCGTACCACAGCTGTAACGTAGTGCCAGCAGGGATGTTCAGAGCGTGTGATTGCGATGAGTTTGACATGAACGAATATGGTTCACTGCGTGTAAGGCAGTGTTAGGAGACCCCGTTGTCGTTCCCTCCACTCCCTCTCCACCGCCCCCCCACCCCTCCCCTCCCCTCCCCTCCCCACCGCTCCGCCACACATGGGAATATAGGAAAACAGGACCAGAAGGAGGCTAGTCAGCCCACTGAGTCTGTTCCACCAGTATATTCGATTTTGCCAGAACTTTTTATTTCCGATGCCCCTTCTACGCCCATACCCCTTCGTACCTCTACAACGGCAACCAAGTTTACATTGATATCGCGCCGTTCATGTCAGGATGACGCCTTTAAAAAGAGCTGACTGGGAGCTTGAGCTGGAGCTGAGGGGAACTGAGTGAGGAACGTCAGGGTGGTGGGAGGAAAGTTGATCCAAAGGAAAGGTCTGAAGAAAAGTCTGCTGCCCAGGTGTCCGTCCATCTCTCAGTTAAACATCTCAGTTGAGACCTTTCATCACCATTGTAAGGCATTGTATTAAATGCAAGGATTATTATTATTATTGGGATCTCTCGTTCACTGATCATTGCTAATAGCAACTACTTATTACATCTTTTTAATACGAAACCAAAATGGTCAGACCCAGCGCAAACATTGCTATTTTGAGAGCTGAGCGTATGATAGACCCCATTGTGCCCATTTGAGCTGGAAAACAGGAAATAGCAATAAATGGGTTCTTTCATGGACTTAATATAATGCTTTAACCTAACGTGTGCCTTTCACTTCACTTACATTGCTCAGCTGGTAATATCATCGGCCAGGGTTGAAACTCAACCAAACAAACCAGCAAAATCCTAATGCTTGATCAATTTTTCCCTGCCCTCCACCCTTGCTGATCCCACCCCCAACTTGGGTGCAAATCTGTGACTGTCCAGCGCTTTGGGACATCCTCCTGATGTGAAAGGCGCTATACGAATATAATTTGTGGTTGTTGCTGATGTCTTCACCCACCCCCCTTACCCCACACACACCTGCCCACCCTGCCCCATCACTGGTCTGTGAACTGATCTCAGGCAGGACAGCTCTGGAGGGCTCTACAATTGGTCGCAATGCTTTGGAAGAGGGAGTGGGGTGGAAATAAGACTTGATTCCTGCCTCTGATTATTATCCCACAACACACTGTAGAAAGTGAAGTGAGGACAAGATTGTGATGCTTGCTTTCTCTCTCTCTCTCTTGTTTCACTTTCCCCCTTAACCCAACTCCCGATCACATAAACTGCATTGATCAGTGAAGTTTGGCCACTGGGGCGAGATTTTGGAGAGAGGTTGGCACCCACCGAACCTGAATCGCTGAAGGGAGGGAGAAGGAGGGAGACAGAGGAAGGAGGGGAGGAAAAAGAAATAGGATTAAACTTGATTGACACTTATTTATTTTGGCATTCTACACCCATGACAATTCAGATGTCAGGTTGATATTGTTCAGAGCTGTTGACGACACTGGTTTTGGTAACTAAACACCGGGTTGTATGAGTTAAAGCTTGTCGAGGAGAGATTTTTGATGTGAGCGATGATTTTTTTTCAGTATGTGTATGTGTGTGTGTGTGTATAAATTTATGTGCATGCGAATATACGTATGTGTGTATATTTTTGGGGTTGTGCTCCCCTCTGGAAAGGAAAAGGAAAGGAAAAGAGCCTGCCCCTTTCCATGCTGCTCCTTTGCCTGCGAGCCATCTGTCAGCGGGAGTTAGGAGCCCGCACTGTGACTCCCTGCCCAGCTGAGGCTTTTGTTCGGCCAGATGTTTGTGCTCGGCGCTGGGGTATGCCTGTTGGCACACGTTCGCTGCCTGTTCTCCGCTCATTGTCTGAACCTGTGTGTATTGTTCTACCTCGACAGGTGACAGCTACCCCGTGCAGCTCATTCCATCGACAATGGCAGCTGCTGCAGCGTCTGGCCTCAGCCCGCTACAACTCCAGGTATGTGGCACAACAGTCAGCTCTGGGACACGAGCCAAAACATTATGCTGAATGCCCGGCCGTCTGAGCGCAGATCGCCCTCTCCTCTCCTCCCCTCCCCTCCCCTCACCCGCCTTCCCCCACCCTCCGAAACAAAACAGTCGAGTAATTGAAACTTAACACTTTAAACTCCTGAATGAATCGCTGTGCAGCAACATGCTATCAGGGTTTGTCCCCGGTCAGATTTTAGGGGTCTGTGTACGTCTTTGTGCTGTTTCGCGTTGAGTAGCTGATTTTTGTTGGGTGTTAATTATGCTGATGGGACGAGGCATTGTTTGCAAATTCAGGTTTTCCTCCTTCTCTGTGGCGATGGGCTGACTATTCTGCTCACTGTTGGTAAGTTTAGTGGATTTGTTCCCGAAGCGTTCGGAGAACACAGCAATGTCCAATTACTTCAGTGCACAATTGAATGTTACCTTCAAAACGTCATTGCTGATGCCTCTCTCATGCACTCGTTCCTCATGAGGAGGGCGAGAGAGTGGGTATGGCAACCAAACCTGATCTTCACCCGGGCTTTTCAGGAAAGGTTCCGGGAGATTAAGACGATTGAGAGGGAACCTGATAGAGAGGTGTTTAAGATTAGGAAAGGATTGGATAAGGTGAACATTGATTTGTGTTTCCACTTGTTGGAAGTGAGTCCAAGACATTAATTCCAGATCGTTTCGGAGGAACGTGTTCGTACAGAGGTTGGAGAGAATGAGGAAATGTCAATGATCAGGTAGCAGGAACCCTTTGCAGGAACCCTTCATCATATAATAATAATAATCATTGCATTTCATATAGTGTCTCAAATATACTGTAAATTGACTGTGTATTTTATGTCCGAAACCCGGCACTAGTTTGCACACAATGTCCCACAGACAGCCATTGAGTGAGTGACCAATTTTATTTGGGGTGTGTGTGGGGTGGGGGGGTTTGTAGGCCAGAAAACTACAAGAGAGAGTCTCCCTTCTCTTTCCGAATAGTGCCATGGGATCTTTAACATCCACCTGAACAGGCGGACAGAACTTCGGTTTAACGTCTCATCCGAGGCACGGCACCTCCGACAATGCAACATCCCCACTCAGCGCTGCATCCGAGTGACATCTTAGATTGTGGGATTCCAATTCCCGACGTGGGACTTGAAGTTGAACCCTCAGCCTTCTGATTCAGAAGTGATAGAGCCACCATTGAGCCAGGCTGATACACAATATTTCCCGCTTCCCAACCCAAGGACACCGAGCACCTCACCCATCCTCCCAACCTCCTCCTTACTGCTGACGTAACACTAGATCAAAGATTTGAACCTGGGATCTCCCTGATGGCGTGTGGGGCATCCTTGTTTTGTATTCGTCCATGAGTTCCTGCACGTACCCATTGTACAGGATGCAGCGAGCTTTATAAAAGCGAAGTGGGGGGTGGGGTGGAGAGGGAGATGGGGGGCTGCCGAGCACATTCATTCCATGCCTTGCTCCCATTGTAAAAATCAAGAGCCTTCCCCTCACAATTCGCCCTTGGGTGGTGAACTGTTTAACGTGGGAGTGAAAGAAGAGACGACTGCCTATTCTCAACAAGGCTGATAACTACCAGATAATGTTTGAGCATTAAATCCTAAACGGCTGCAATTGCTACCATACAAAGCAAACACTTTGCGAGCAATGTGACATGTAACTTTTCTTCCAGATAGAGTCGTGTAATTTGTCCCTCACTGCTTATCGCTCAGAGCTTTAATGAGCCTTGGCAAGCCCTAACAATGCATGCAGCTGCATTGCAAGCACCAACAATTTTAGCATCACATCGGAATTTGTGCGTCGGCAAAAAAAGAAAAGGGGGAAAACAAAAAATACGGAACAAAAAAAAATAAAGGAGCAGGAATGCACAGATGCCGGAGGAGCTGTCTCGGCAACTGTAAACACAGTAGATTCTGTATACTGACCTTTTTGTGTTAATGTCAGGTACAGGTCCAAAGTAGAACTGAAGCCTTGCTCAACATGCGCCTCGGGGGCGAAATAATGGCTGAGCGAAGGCCAAAGAATTCTATTTTTAGCGGGGCACTGCAGCAGATGGGAGTCATGAATAGTCATGTATCTGAAGGAAGGCCGAGAGGTTTCAAACATTAATTTGGATAATGTATTTGTTTAACCCAGGGAACAATTCGAACTTCCAGTTCCGAGGGACATGGTCGTTTTGACCTTTTCTGAGCAGAGGAAAAGTGTGTGTGTTTGTGTATGTGTGTGTGTGTGTGTGTGTGTGTGTGTGTGGAACATTGGCTCATATTTACATTATTGTAACTGGGACAGACTTGAGGTTTCCCTGCTTGTTGTAGTGACAGATAAGGCCAGATGAAAAATCGCATTTGAAGAACTTGCTTCCTGATCCAGCCCACAGCCACAGAAGTTAGTAGTGCTGTTTGGATTCGCTGCCTTAATTCAGAGAACTGACAACCACAGAGGCCGGGCAATGTCTCCTGATGGGGCAGCAGCGAAGTTCCTTGGATGCAGGAGTTCAAGGCAATAGGGGACAGGAGTTGGCTCACGTGAGGGAAAGAGCAGTGCAAGGTGGTGGCACATCGCGAATTTAAATCCGAAGCTCACAAATGTCAACCATTACTGGGAGCGAGAGGCGACCAAACCCTCGAATCCTTCCCCTATCCAACGGGATAGATATCTAATTAAAGGAGTCAACTACAGGGGTATAGGCAAAAGACAACTAAATAGGACTGGAAGGATTGCTCTTTAAAAGGACCAGAACAGATACGACGGGCCAAGCAGCCTTCTAAAGTGCTGTAAATTTCTGTTGTTCTTTCTATGGTAGTGATCGTGGCATTTTGTGGGCAAGTGTAGCTCCCCCTCCCCAAACTTGGACGACTTTTCTCTATTGCAAAGCAAACAACTTTTGCCAAATACGCAAATTTGCATTTATATTGCAACAACTTGCATGTATATTGCGACCTTCACGCAGGTGCTGTCTGAGAGCGCTTATCTTCATGCCATAGCCCTTTAAGTTCCCAGACAATGGCACAATAAAGGGACTGGTGGGCTCCCAGTTTCAGATCATTCCTGGTAAACCCTGATCAGTTTTCCCTTTTGTTATGAGGTTGGGGACTGGGAACAATGGTTTGAAACAAAATCGCTCCCGAGTCTTAATGCTTTGCGTTGCCAATACAGTGCCCCTCGGCTGACCTGGAACTTTCCGTATCAGTTTATTGTTTAATGACTTCCTGAAACTCGAAATGAAAAAAACAGTGTGATGCAGTGCCCTTCCTGCTTCCTCGCTCACTCGCTCGCTCACTTGCTGGACTTTTTATTTTAAAAGAAATTCTACTGTCCTCAAGTTATTTTTTCTGTTTATTTCCTCCATTGCCTTATGCCTCTCTGCTCCTACTCACCAGACTCCTCATGAGCTTGTTGCTCTCCAGATACCCCAACCTAACCTGCCTGACCTGCCCAAGTGACCATTGTTCTCGACAGGACACTCGACTGAAATAACAACAATCCTTGCATTGAGTATAGCACCTTTCACGTCGGGAGAACATCTCCAAGCACTTCACAAGATTCACTGTAAAGTGCAGTGACTGTATTTTGTACACGAAGCCGGCAGCCAATTTGCACACAGCCAATGTCCCACAAACAGCCATGAAGTTAATGACCAATTTTATTTGGGGGTTTGTTGACCAGGGCATTGGGAGAAACTGCATTTTCTTTTCGAATGGGATCTTGTGCCATGATAACTTTAACGTCCTCCTGAATAGGCAGGCGGGCCTTCTTTTTTTAACCTCTCCTCTGAAAGATGGGATCTCTTACACAGCAACCCAGATTCTATGAGTACAATGTCATTCTGACTCAGAGAGAGTGCAACCAACCAAGCCAGGCTGACTGTAGAGTTTGACAGACGTGGTGCGGAGGAGGGAGAGAGAGAGAAGGTGAAGGGCTTGGACGCTTTTCCACTACTATGTCATTACTCAAGGTGTATTTCTAACAGTAAAGTATACAAAGGTATGAGGAAAGGGCAGTGGAGTGAGTTACTCTGTAAACAGGTAACAGGACCCACCACAGGCATAGTTCAGTGCTGTGTAAAATGTTATACTGTCCTCCTTGAGCGGGAGGTTAAGCGGGCTCTACATGGAGCTGACTGCTCCCCTCCCCCCCACCCCAAGATGACGTGCTTCTCAACAGAACATCGCCAATGAGCCAGTCCTTTGTGGTGGTTTCCCTCAGTTGCGCCGTTCCTGAGCCAAGGGGTCTGCTGTATCCCAGGGCACTGCCAGTGAAAGCCCAGCCCAACCTGGTACATCAACAGGAATCAGAGGGATAGACCGCACAATTTCACGACGCCTGCCTCCACCTCCAGTTCTCAATTTGCTCCCCGCCCCCCCCCCTCCCCCACCCAAACTAAACGTTAGCCTGAGACAAGGAGTCATTTCATTGAAACTCTTTGTAACTCGCGGTTGAGAAGCCATGAAACTCCCTGTGGGGTAGATGTGAGTCTGGAAGTACTCACAGACACTTCCTGGGTAGAGTGTTCCATTTCCACATGCTCGACAGGTTCCCCCAGCCCCCCTCCACCCGCGCCCCCCCCCACTTTTCTCCTCACAACGCCCACCCCTCCACTCACTATGCAGCTCTTAGCTGTGCACTAGGACAAGCTCTCATTCTATAGGCGAAACATGCAATTATTATAACAATAATAATAATAAAAAAAATGTTTGCTTTTGATATAGCGCCTTATCACGTCATTGAGACATCTCAAAGCGCTTCACAGAGTATATTGTAAAGTAGATTGACTGTGTATTTTGTGAGCGAAACACGACAGCCAATTGCCCACAGCAGTGTCCCACAAACAGTCGTGGATTAATTGACCACATTTTTGGGGGGAGGGTAAGAGAGAGAGAAATTTTCATTATTATTTATAAAAAATGTGTCCGGATTTTCTTACTTTGGAAAATAATTCCAGAATCAGTTTTTTTGTAATAATAACAATAC